TGTAGGCCAGTCCAAGATGGAGTAGAGACGGCGATTCGGGTCGTTCTATGTTGTTGATTTGGTTTCCACAAGCATGCAACACCTTCAGGTTTGGTGGCAATACAGGGAGAGATGTTATTTGATTGGAATCGATAGACAAGTGCAGCAGTGCGGTGAATTTGGACGTGCGATCTGAGACAACACGCCTCCTTCACGGCATGTCGGTCGACGAGTTATATCACCATCTAAATAGGTGATGTTTCTATCGTTCAAGTTGAGGTCTGTGAAGAACTCTCGGAGTACGAGAGACTCCGCTGTGACGTTCGGGTGCAAGCAGCTGCCCACTGCGGCAACTATTCGTACGAAGTCCAATGACTTGCTTGACCAGTCCATAGCGCCTGGCTCCATGACGGCGATCCCTACAGTACGGTACACATACAGTAGGCACAGGAAGACTACTCTCCATGGCTTCATATTCTCTAGTGCACTCGCGTTCCTCGGTGAGTCGCATCGATTTCGCGATGTCTCGTTCGAGTTCTTTCTTTGAGTGTACCTGGGGGGGACCAGGGCCCTTTCTAGAAAAGTCTGTATCGAATACAAAGATGCTAGTGGTTGATCGGCCCCCGCGAAATCTCATCAGTCAATGACATGCCCTGTCGTTGATTCATGAGGCTGCTCAAGGGCTGCGTCGCACTACCCTGTTAAACAGGGTAGTGCGACTCGCACTATGCGAACATATCAACTTAGAAAACGTCATTTTTTGATGGTACGTTTGTGCGTGCCAGGTCTAGGCATCACAGTCGGCTTCTGATGCAATCTCTTTCGAATGAAAGTTCATCGTAGAGGAATTTTTCCCGCACTAGTTCCACCCCTCAAGGAGACTCACCGCGCCCTCGACAATGTCCACTCCTGTTCTATCCCTGAGTAGCCAGCGGAATGCCTCGTACAGACTCAATTCGCATGGATCGGACGGCATTTGGGAGGAACCTCTATCGGCTACTATCCAACTCCGCTACCGACACAACTTGGCACACTTGGACGGCCTTAATCTTCCGCAACGTTTTTGTACACGTTCATGATTTGTCCCTAGTGATGGCGACCACATATCATGGAGTAATTCCTTTTTTTCAGGGCAATGCCCGCCTTTGCAGGGCAGAGCATTCGCTCGCCTTCACGGTTTCACAGTGTCGTCTGAGGTTGATATCTCAGGGCAAATCTTTGCTAAAGAATTTGGAAGTGCGCAAGATGTTTTAGGAAGATCAACTATGCGGAAGGTTTTGGTTTCTTACGAAGCGATTGCTGAATCGGAAGTTCATCGGCTACATTGAATGCAGTACATTCGGAGATGAACTGGGAACGATTGGGAACATTTTGAGTAGATCACGATATATTGGATTATCCATCTTCGTACTGCTAAATCGGCTTTACTGAGTGTACAGGTTGTAGTTTGGTAATGTTTTTCTTTCGACCTTTATTTCTGGGGCTACTCTCGTACAGTTTGCTGAGGAGTGAACAAAGTTCTGAGCATAAAATGCGAATATGCTGGTCAATGGGAATGGAGGTACTGGGGATTGTGATTCTAGTGGCTAGAATCTAGCCAAGGGGTGCTGCAGTTGGGGGCAAGAGGCAGTAGCTAGGGGGTTGTTCGGTCGCAGAGTCTGCCTTGGTTCTGTGTGTATACTATATAGCGATATTGATATTCGTGGTTGGCTATGCATACATTGTCTACGTAACGTCGATCAGATAAGCCTGGTTTTCTTGTAGATGGTCGAGAAAAATAAAGCAACAACCTACAATCCTGGTCTCACAAATGGTGAGACACGAAACATGCCCTTGAAACCTGGAAGCACCGCCAAGGATTTCTGGCTTCTCACAAGGATGAACTACAATCAATCTGTCGTTGCCTCCTGGGACACCACGACCAGAGTAGGCCTTCTGGCCGGCACAATTGGCGTGTGTATAAGTGCATGTCACACATCTCACATCATGCTCTATCGTGTAGCTGCCGGGGTGTTGACCAATACCTTGGTCACTTACTCTCTTGCATGATTCCTTAATGTCGCACGAACATGGAATGTCCATGGAATCACGTGTTGTGTAACCCCTAACCACTATCTATCTCCTGTTGAGCATCAGTCATGGCACACGGGGATACGCTCCACTCGGGCAATGTCGCCATATTTTGATAGCTTTTATGCACAAGATGGGTCCGGCCTTCGCCCCCAGGAATATTAATACTGGGGGAGGTACAACTCAACAACCGGTGGTTTCCCTGCAGCGCCCACATATTCATGCTGCATCTCAGCCCTCAGTACTACTGAGCTACTAGCTTCTACGGCGTCAACCCAACCTGCCGGACGTTCATGGGAGGAACACACTCGCGGTATTGGCCAATCTAATTCGTCTGACTATGATCCTGGGGGGCTACCCCTTGCTCGAGCAGAAGCTGATCAGTGCCGTCAACCTGACGGGCGTCAGGTGGCCGATGTTATGATCGCGAAGTTTCCTACAGTCACCTGGGCGGGCAGCCCGGTCAAGAATTCCAACCCGCTGCAGAGGCATAACACGGATATCAGAGCCGAGAAGGTATGGATGGATCACGGTAGAGAAGTCTCAGAGAGAATCCCAGGTAAGGTGTACTCTTTTTGAATAAACTCGTGCGACATCCTGGTTGGATTGTTCTATGCTAACACTATTACTTTCAGACCTTCATGATCGTAAACGAGCACGCATGTGAAGTAATTGGCTTCAGTGAGAGTTCCTTGAGGACATCGGGCAGGACGAACCCATCCGATAGGCTCAATAAGCTAAGCTAATTTAGCTTATTAACTTAGTTTCTTACCTAACTGTTTTCAGTTGATGAGTCTGATACAGAATTCAAGTCACCGATTCGCAAACATGTAGCATTTAGCGATATCAATCCGATACATAGTGTACTATCCTGTGAACTGGGGCGGTTCGTCCTAGTCACTGAACTTCAGCGCCACTTTCATTCGAGATGCAATACTTCAAATGTTCTGTTTGCAATCAGCGGTTTTCGGTCTGACCGAATCGGTCACCGAAGTTCAGTGTATTGTACCTCGATTGGATGTTCGGCCTTGTGTATAATATGTATAAGTTATGGACTCGTTAATGACGAGTCATCATTGTCTGCCCTGGAAAACTGACAGTCGCCCTCCATTTTCACCCAAAACCCTGTAAAATCACCAAGCCATGGCGCGCGCTTTGGTGCCCTCAATTTTCTGCTATGGCCCTGGCAATTCCCTCCCTGCCCTCGAATTTACAGATTGCCCTGTAAATTCCGCCATTCGGGCGAGCGATTTACGGTGCCCTGTAAACCACGCTTCTGCCCTGGAAAAACGTAATCACCCACATATCATGTGTGGTTGAGCTTCATGATCGTATAATCTATGATGATAGACACGTGTATTATCCTGCTCCCCATAGTAAAACGTTGAACTGCCAGACTGTCGCATTTACCTCGCTATGAGTGGTTCAGGAGGAACCTCGGGTGCCACAAGTCTCCCATTATAATTTAATCACGACGGAGTTATTCGCTGTGAATGATATGATCATAGGTTACGTCGCGGTTGTCTTGCCGTGGCCTCTTATGTTGTGTCTGTGAAGAGTGTGAGTGACGTCGGGGAGTGTTTAGTTGTTTCGGTGCATCACTTCTGTGTTCCTTTTGTGAACGGGTTTATGCCTGTAGAGATGAGTTTTACTCTAGTGACTATGTACGTGTAGCGATAAGGTTAGTCCGCGTTGATCTATGCCCGTTGTTGCCAAGGAGACCTTCGGATCTCCCGTCCCGTACGCGGAGCCTAGTTGGTACACCAAGGGCCACAGCAGCCCCTACTATACTCAGTCCCACGTTGAATGGCGGGTCAGGTGCCGCAAGTTTGTAGAAGATGAGGTCATGCCCAACGTCAGTGAGTGGGAGAAGGAGAAGGCCATTCCCATGGAGATCTACGCGAAGTGCTACAGGGCTGGCCTCCTGCCCAGTTTGGTCGGCCCTAAGGGTTACGACTATGCCGATCCCGCCGTTGCTGCCAAGCCCCAAGGCTTCGACTACTTCCACGAGCTCATCTTCATTGACGAGCTCTGCAGGTGTGGATCTGGTGGCGTCATGTGGGGTATGATGGGTGGCCTCAACATTGGTTTGCCAACTGTGTTAAACTTTGGTACGTCTGAGATGAAGGCAAGGGTGGCCCCTCCTTGTGTACGTGGGGAGAAGAATATTTGCCTATGCATCACGGAACCTCACGCTGGCAGTGATGTCGCCAATATCAGGACTACTGCTAAGCTCACTCCGGATGGAAAGCACTATATAGTCAACGGTCAGAAGAAATGGATAACTAATGGTATTTTCTCCGACTATTTCTCTGTCGCGGTCCGCACAGGTGGCTCTGGTATGAAGGGAATATCTATGCTGTTGGTCGAAAGGGGCATGCCTGGTCTCAAGACCACCAGACTGGACTGCCAGGGTGTGCTATCGAGCGGCACTACTTTCGTTGAATTCGATGATGTGAAAGTCCCCGTGGAGAACCTTATAGGTAAGGAGAATGACGGCTTCAAGGTTATCATGTATAACTTCAACCACGAGCGTTGGGGCCTCATCATACAGGCCGTGCGGTTCTCGAGGATCCTCTATGAACTCTCGTTCAAGTATGCACAGAAGAGGAAGACCTTTGGCAAGACCCTTATGGAACATCCGGTGATTCGCTGGAAGTTGGCAGAGATGTCCAGACAGATTGAAGGGACCAGTCATTGGCTTGAAAGCGTTACCCACCAGATGTCAACTATGCCGTGGGTGGAAAGTATGGACGCTTTGGGAGGCACCATTGCTCTGATGAAGGCCCACAGCACTAAGGTAAGGGATAGTTCTGTCTGCAGTTGCCTTCGATGGTTTTCAGGTGTACGAGTACTGTGCTCGAGAGGCGGCCCAGATATTCGGCGGTAACGCCTATACAAAGAGTGGTCTCGGCGAAGTGGTGGAACGGCTTTATCGTGATGTCCGTGCTTTGGCTATTCCTGGCGGCTCGGAGGAGATCTTGCTGGATCTGGGCATCAGGCAGGCTGATAGACAGTATAAGAAGGCTATGAGCAAACTATAATGCCTACTATTGCGGAATCTCGAGATTTGTCGTAAGGAGCTGCTGGTCTATTCAGCAGTTTCCCGTAATCGTTTTTAATAATTTTATTATAATCGCCTTCTTGAGTTAACGTAGTGAGAAGACGGGGTTGATGCTTTCGATGGAAAACTGTAATTCGCAGTGTAAACAGCCACTATGACGTGAACCCCAATCGCACGTCGGTAAGGGTGACCTTGTTAGGAGTGAGCCACTCGTTGACCAGCCCGTACTGGTAGAGATTTGGTGTGTTCTTAGAAATTGATGACCTATCATTACCAGTTCGCTGTTGAATTTTCCTCTCTAGAGTATCAAGTTGGGTTGTCGAATCCCTTCGCATGGCAAGATGGAACTTGCACTACTATTAAGCGCTACTTTTCCATGATGGAGTTTATCGTCACGAGGCCCGGAGGGGGTGGGGCCAAATAGACAGGCAGTTATACTTATCTAAGGAATCAAATCTACTACTACGGTTGCTCGACCGACTGCGACTACAGAGTGATTTCTATTGGAGAGAGCCCTACCAATTTGACGTCAGCAACGACGACACAATGGGATATGTTAGTGCTCGATGCAGCTGTGACTACCATTTACGCATCACATAGAGATATCAGAAACTTAATTCGACAGAAACGCGGATGAATCATGAAAGTAGTGAACTATTTGCTCCCTCTCGCCCCGCCATGCCTTGTCTTGCGCTCTTTCACCCACATCTTGGCTTCCCACGGGAGTCTCGCTGGCTCGTCTTCTGGGGTGTCGATTTCTTTCCACCTCTTCGCTGCTCGCCTTTGACGCCGAATATTTCTTGCCATCTCTTGTGGACTACCAGCACATAAACCAGGCGTCAGCGCACTCCCGATCTCGACCTCCTCCTTCATACGCTCTTGGAGCTTCTTCAAAAGCTCCACTTCTCCCGGAATCGGCTCGACAGGGATCCGTTTCGGGGTCGGCACGCTTTCAGTTGACCCCTCTGGAGCCCCTTGTCCCTTTTCGACGTTTTGGTCCTCTTCATACCATCGATCGAGTCGCTCTCGGAGGAAGGTAGCCCGCTCTTGGCTGTCCATTTCGTACCATTCCTGGTCCCAGACGTGAATGACACGTCCTCTTGTTCCTCGCATAACGTGCCGATGCCTCAGGATGGCTTCACCCGTTGGAGTTTGACTTCGGGCCTGCATGTTGGCTCGGGTGCTCACTAAGATGGCTGCCTTGATTCCGGGCACCCACACATCAACCAGGAATCCGTCAAAGTCGTACATTCCTACACCAGGACGTTCGATCTGGACAAGAGTGTCGCTTATCGAGGTCATGAGTTCGTCACTAGGAGCAGTAGAGAGCTGCAAGTCCCAGAAATGTGAGCGGCAATACCCAAGATACCTCTCCGTTCCAGCCGGATCGAAGTCGGGATGTACAGCCTGACGAAACGCGAGATCTACAGCCCCTCAGTCCTGGAAGGGTTCTCACCTGCAGCTCGCGTAGAGTGGGAAACAGGAGAGCACAGCGACTGTCGGAGGAGACGACTTCAGGAGTCAGCACGGCAAGGATGGGTTCACAGAAATCGGGATCTAACTTCTTCATCACCGCGAACGCCCAAAGCATATTAGTCAGGCCGAAAGCGGAGAACTGAGAACTTCATCGAATTCCACATGGTGAGGAGCATACGGAATGTTCACCTGGTTGAGACGCTCCAGTGCAGTAACTTGGAGTTGGGGGAACAGCTTAGCCCCAGTCCGAACCACCGCAAAGGCCCAACATAACATAGAGGCTTGCTCCGCATTGAAGATGGTTATACGATGGTTGGTCGCCTCCACTAGGACGGCCCACAGCTGCGTTGATCCCGTCCGTGCATGAGCGTATCTGAGCGTGCTCAGAGCATGCATCCTTCACAACAGCATACGAGGAAACCCTTTACCCAACGATGGTTTCCACAACATCGAGACTCTTAAATTCTCTAATTTTGCGGACGACAGTAACTTCTGCAGCGTCATAGAACCAGGTCGGCTCAGTAGTCGAGGTCGATGGACCCATCTGACAGAGCGATCATCTTCATTCCCCATAGAGCATTTCAATGCAAACCTTGCCATCGTGGTGTTCACTGCTCCAGCCTTCTGTCCTCTGAACTTTGCGACTGCAGAGTTGCTCACCGAAAACCTTCAGGCAATTCGATAACTGCCGTGGCGACATCGCAGATACGACCTCCAGACCTCGGTCCAGCAATAAGCGATAGAGACCTGAGACTAGCAGTCTTCGCCGAGCACGAATCTACCAAGACTTAGGAAGCATCCACCAGATGAGTCCTCTCCTTACGTCCATCGCCGAGGCCATGTACGTTGTACGCAAATACTATCCTCGAGAGACTCCCATGATCCATCGCGGGTATCCTGGAGATTATGACCGGCTCGGCTCGATGGAACACAGCAATTCCTTCCCTATAGGGATACTCACGAGAGCCACACAACCTATATCAAGGCGGTCCTTGGCACAAGGAGATTCACATTGCCTTACGAAGCCAAGGAGGCCAACACTTGCGCCAATTCCTGATCGGCTAGTCCCGTGAGAGCTTCGACGGAGAGCTGTGCTGTGATGGCCACTATCATGGTGGTCTGCTTCATCAGGCCGCTCGGCCATCGGGCATACACCTACGCTTGAGCTTCGAATACAGCCGCTCCCTTCCATGGCAGAAAAATACTACCCTGAGGATTCTCACTACATCCGCGATTTTGTGAGCCCTGCGCTGCATCTGGTGTAGTAGAAAAGGGTACGCCCCCTTTAGAAAGTGCACGGGTTTATGTGATGACTTCCGCGTCATGGCCACGCAGACGTTAGCGAAATCCCCAGGGGCGAACTCTCCGGCCTGAACATGCTTATTGACGCGAGCGTGGCACACACATTGCTTCCCTTCGACCATGAAATGATATGAAAAACAGAATTAGAAAACAGGGTACGAAGAGGTAACATATGGAGCCTTAACGAGCATCTATCCTCTTCTACAGTGAACTCCACAGATGAACCGTCCAAATAGATTCCATCCGAGTGTCCAAGCCTCCTCACTCAAGGAGTACCCTGTGCGCCACATTGCTTATGATGCTCTCCCAGAACGCCTTCCCGCCGGCCTGCACGTCCGCATAGGCCCGAGTCACTTCGGCGATCTGGTTCGTAGTCATGCTGGGGAGCAACGTCATGATCGGCGATTCGATGTGCTGAGCAAAAGACGCTGGCAGCTCTCAGAGTCCGAGATTGCTACTTTAAAGAGGCCCATATCCCGCCAGTTCAGCCGGACCAGCGTCCTCGGAACGGCGACGAGAGAATCCAACGGCAACGTGTCAACGTAGCGTATAAGATCGTTGAGTATTCGCATGAAGCACTTATGATTAACGATCTGCAACGGCGATTTGCATAGATAACACCGAAACGGTATCACCGTTATTTTTTCATCTCGCGTGGAACGCTCCATTTCTCCTGCGAGGATGTATAGGAGACGACAAATGTCCGAACCACGGCACTGTGAGCGGTTGAGGGTATAATAGTTCCACACCTACAGCGAACGCGTGCGTACTGCAGAAAAATGGTCGACGAATATGATGGAGACTAGATGAGGATACTTCGGAAAATTCTCATTGATTCCTGTACAACCCAGATTCGTGTATGTAAATTTCATAAATAGCGACGAAAATTCCGAGCTCAGCTGAAGAAAGGGAACATGAACTCCAACACTCCACGTGCGCAGTCAAATCTAGCCCCGAGCGACACACGGCACTAGCGTGACGGCAGACACCAGTCATTACATCGTTAGCTGACCGGAGCCCTTCGACCTCCATTCTCCGTTTATCCACGACCTCCACCTCAGGAACCACAGAAAAGCACCGGCATGCGTGCCTGCTGTTAACCCCAGAGAGGAATGGTCGCCGAAGGCAAAGGCATCGAGGGGCAATCATAAAGAGACTCAAACACTGGACGCAACCGACATAACCTTCGAGGCTGCGACAAAACAAAGGGAGACAATACTCAACAGATCGACCTACGACAGACGATAGATAGCTCGATAGATAAATTAACAACTACGCCCAGCTCCATTGTGTGTTAGAAACGATTGTCGGGTATTTTCTGGCAGAGCTCAGGTTGATAAAGATCGGAAACACTCTAGTATATCTTAGCCACTCTATGTGCCCTACTGCCTACTGACAATCGTGTCCTCCGAGCTACAGGTCGGCACTCTACATCATACCACCCATGCCTCCCATGCCGCCCATACCGCTCATATCAGAGGCCGCAGGGGACTTCTCCTTCTCAGGGACCTGAGAGCACACATGCATAATATGCAAAGCCTAGCGGAAGCTCCTCACATCGCAGATGACAGTCTCAGTGGTAGTCATCAAACTAGCAATACTGGCGGCGTCAGCCAAGGCCGTCCGTACGACCTTGGTGGGGTCAATGATACCCTGTTGGAGCATGTCGACGTACTCAGAGGTCTGGGCGTTGTATCCCCTACCATACAATGCATCTCAACCAGATGAATATTCTGCCGTGGACTTACTTGTGGTAATGGTCATCACTGAGGAGTTTCTGCACCACGACGGCACCCTCCTCACCAGCGTTCTCGACGATAGTCTTACACGGCTGCTTGCACGCTGAACGAATGATGTTGCAGCCGACCTCCTGGTCGAAGTTGTCAAGTTTCATGTCATCCAACTTCTTGCTAGCTCTGAAGAGGACACAACGTCAGAGCCACCAAATGCATTCCCTAAATGGTCACCTCAAGAGAGCGGACCCACCGCCGGGCACGATACCCTCCTCAACAGCGGCCTTGGTGGCGTTGAGGGCGTCATTGAGACGATCTTTGACCTCGGACACCTCCACTTCGGAGGAACCGCCAACCTACAACGTAGTTAACAACAAACCCAGAAATCAGCAGTGCTCACCTTGATGACAGCAACACCACCGCTCATCTTGGCGAGACGCTCCTTGAGCTTATCCTTCTCGTACTCACTACTGGTGCTGTCAATAGCATCACGGAGGGTCTCGCATCTGTCATCTATCTCCTCTCGAGCTCCCGCGCCATCAAGAATAATGGTGTCGTCCTTCTTGACGGAGACAGACTTGCATGAGCCGAGCAATGCACTGAATACCACCGAAATACTCTCAAGACACTGACAGTGAACTACCAAACTTACGGGTTGAAGTCGTCGCTGAGCTTGGTGCCAGTCTCCTCACTGACCACCTCGCAGCCGCAAACAGTAGCGATATCCTGCATCTGGGACTTGCGGTTATCGCCGAATCCGGGGGCCTTGACCTACACCACACCAAACTCCTGTGTGCCAAGCCAATCGTCAAGACACTTACAGCGCAGACCTTAAGGCCACCACGGAGCTTGTTGACAACGAGAGTAGCCAGCGCCTCTCCATCGACGTCTTCAGCAATAATAAGGAGGGGTCGCTGTAGTTTTACCACGTACTCGAGCACGGGGAGAATGGACTGGAATAAAGAGTAAATTACAACCCAACAAGGGAGGACTCCTCACCTGAATGGAGCTGATCTTCTTCTCATGCACCAAGATGAGAGGATTCTCAAACTCGACCGACTGAGTCTTGTTGTTGGTGACGAAGTAGGGAGAAATGTAGCCACGGTTGAACTGCATGCCTTCCACAACCTGAGCGGAGTCTTGTGCCTTGGCGAGTCAATCGACGCCCTACCTCCAGCTGATGCTCCATGGTCTTGCCGTCAGACACGGTGATGGTGCCGTCCTTGCCGACTTTCTCGAAAGCCTCAGCGATGAGACTGCCGATGGTCTTATCGCCGTTGGCGGCAATTGTAGCGACCTGAGACAAGACGACGACTCAGGTGAGAGAAGACGTACAAATACAAAAAATACCTGTTGAATTTCCTGAGCCGTCGAGATAGGCTGGGCACGGGCCTTGAGCTCATCCATGACCACCTTCACCGCAGCGTCGATGCCTCTCTTCAAGTCCATGGGGTTCATACCAGCAGCAACAGCCTTGCAGCCCTCACGGTAGATGGCCCGAGCAAGTACTGTACTAGTGGTAGTGCCATCACCAGCTATGTCGTTGGTCTTGGAAGCAACCTGTTTGATGAGAGCAGCTCCGACGTTCTGCATCTTGTCGGGGAGGTCGATGGCCTTGGCGACAGTGACACCATCCTTGGTGACCTTAGGGGACCCGAAGCTCTGCTCGATGACCACGTTGCGACCCTTAGGGCCCATGGTGACGGCCACAGCATCGGCGATACGGTTAACCCCGACGAGCATACGTGAGCGGGCCTCAGCGCCGTGGAGGACCTCCTTGGCGACTCCCATGCAGGTGGACGAGCGCGACAGCATTTTGTGGTGATAAAAAGAGAAACTAAGGGATGGACATTCTCTCACCATCAGGAGGTTCCGAATTGAGGAACGCCTTCTTCCCGAATTGAGTCGGTGTTCGTGTTGCCGATCGTGGCTCAGACAGTGCCGTGAACTCCAGTCGTCGATATGAACTCAGACACGAGGGGAGCTTTGCTGAGGTCATTCCTGACGACCGGCAAGACTCTGAAGTTGGACAGAAGGAAGTTCGAACTACTGTTGCTCACGGAGCTTAGGAATCTTTAAGGATCGTAAGTAAGCAAGATACCCTCATCAGCTCTACGCGCGCGCCAAGATCTATGCAGTGATGGAACTTGACAGCGGCATGTACTTCTCGTTGTCCATGGGGTCGTTCAGTAAACCGATTTCGAAACTCGCGGCGTGTTCAATAGACCTTCAAGAGCCCACCCAGGATTAGATATCACATGTAAAACTCGATCTTGGGAGCGCTCTTAGAACTCTAGAGAGGCGGTCTACTGAACTTCACCCCATCAGAATCGTTTCCGGAATTGCTCATTACACGTGTAATAGGATGCTAGCATCGATTCTGAATTGACCCGCATAGGTTTCAATGAACCTGGGGCATGTTTCGATTCGGACGTTGTTGTTCTAGTCGGTAGGTAGATGGTAACGCTGACGATGTTGGACTGTTATCGCTTGTGCGAAGTCATCACGTTTCCGCCTTTCTAGGTTCGATATGAATCTTTCGAGCAACTCTTAGACCTATCCAGTACTTGAAATAACTTGTTTTGGTATTGCGGCTTTTTATTTTCTCCCCCTGGAGTTACATTCGGGAGTAAACGTTATTATGAAGCGCAGAGTTGTTCACTCACCTCCAGTGAAACTTGAGTATAGGTGCACGCTAGCCTACATAATTTTTCTGTAGTAAATTTTACAGTAGGACCGACGTCCACAAATGATATTTGATACAACTGATCTCGTCTACTATCTGATCAGCATCCCTCTAACACTACTGTAGGTCCTCTGAGCGTGTCTTGGTCGGCGCATCTCACTTCAGGCTCTGTCGGCTCCTAGTCCCGTCACGCACCACAACGCGGACGCCATCGCTGAGGGTACCAGAAGTTGATGTGGTGGTGGAGTCGCGAACGAACACTGGTTCGAATTCTGCTAAGGAGTCGGTGGAAACTGCTGGGGAGCACCAAGCCGCTTCGGAAAATGAAGTGCGGAAGACCGCTAGAGGTTCTTACTGTTGCCTCAACGTTCAGACTGTCACTGAGACGAATGAGAACACTGCACGAGTGAATGAGATAGCTGCTGCAATTGGTGGAACATTCGCGGTTGAGGAATCCGAGGAAAAGGCGGTGCATGCCCAAGTACCTCGAATTGAGGTGGAGAACAAGTCCATTAGGACGAACACTGTAGAGGTGATCAGGAACACGTCAACATGATGCTGTAGGATTCCCGTTCAGCAACAGCAGCATGTGGTGATGAGGAACAGTGGAGAGGTGACGGTTCAGGAGGGAGGGGCTCCAGGGTTGGTGTCTTACAATGTGAGCAAAGACCAGATTCGTCCGCTGCTGATATGTGATCAGGGCACCGTTGTGACTCGACATAATTACAACCAGCCTACCCCGAACGAATTCGAGATCCAGAAGAGCATCCTTGTCGCTGCTAATGCACGGTGGGGGGCTCTACCTCTATTGATTTTCGAGGGAGATCAAAAATCTGATATCAGATCCGTCAAGGGCCTGCTCGAAATCGTGGACACGCACGTAACTCAACTGAACTCCGTCAACGTTTCAACTCTAATACACCGCCTGGCCAGCATAACTCAGAACCACGAGCAAAGTCAGAAGGCATTGACTCGCGACCATCGGATGAAAAAGG